GTCCAGGTTTAATCCTGGTTTAGTCCTTGTTTAGACCTGGTTTAATCCTGGTTCAGTCCTGGTTCAGTCCTGGTTCTGTTTCAGGTACCGGTCCTGTTGTGGCGGTGATGATCCCGGAGCTGTTTGGCAGGGAGCTCCTGTCGCTCCTGGAGAGGAACCTGACGGTGCAGGTGCGGGTCCTGGTCGGGGCCCGGTCTCAGAACTCGTCCCGGTCTTCGTTGGTCTTCGTCTCCGTGTCCTTCATCGTCCTGCTCGGGGTCAGCTCGGCCTGGCTCCTGTTCTACTGCGCGCAGAGACTCCGCGGGTCCACCAGGGGGCGCACCCAGGTGAGAGACCAGGACCAGACCAAGACCAAGACCAAGACCAGACTAGAACTAAACCAGACCAGGACCAGACCATGACCAGACCAGGAAAACACCAGGAAAAGACAAGGAAAAGACCACGATCAGACCAGACCCAGACCAGGACCAGACCTAGACCAGGACTAGACCAGGAGCTGGACCAGACCAGGACCAGTCAAAGGCCAGAGTACAACCAGAACAAGACCAGAGCAAGACCAGAGCAAGACCAGACCAGGACCGGACCGCGACTAGACTATGACTAGACCAGACCAGGACCAGGATCAGAACAGGATAAGACCAGGAAAAGACAAAGAAAAGACCACGACTAGAGCACTACCAAACCCAGACCAGGACTAGACCATAACCAGAGCAAGACCAGAGCACAACCAGACCAGAATCAGAGCAGGACCAGACCAGAATCAGACCAGAATCAGACCGTGACCAGACCAGGACCAGACCGGGACCAGACCAGGACCAGACCAGACCAGACCAGACCAGACCAGGACCAGACCAGGACCAGACCAGGACCAGACCCGCCCTCCTGTCCTGACCGTGTGTTCTTGTGGTGTAGAGAGGATTTGGAGACGCAGCGAAGAAAGCGATCAGAAAACTGACCACACGAACCGTCCGGAGAGGAGACAAGGTAACACAACACAACAACACAACAACACAACACTGACACAATAACATAACACAACACACAACACTGACACAATAACACAACACAACACACAACAACACAACACAACACACAACAACACAACACAACACACAACAACACACAACACACAACACACACACACACACAACACACGACAAAACACAACACAACAGACAACAACACAACACACAACAACACACAACACAACACACAACAACACACAACAACAACACACAACACTGACACAATAACACAACACAACACACAACAACACACAACACACAACACACAACACACACAACAACACAACACACAACACACAACACACAACAACACAACAACACACAACACACACACAACACACACAACAACACAAACACACACAACACACAACACTGACACAATAACACAACACAACACACAACAACACAACACACAACACTGACACAATAACACAACACAACACACAACACACACAACACACAATAACACAACACAACACACAACACACAACAACACAACACACAACACACAACACTGACACAATAACACAACACACAACAACACACAACACTGACACAATAACACAACACACAACAACACACAACACTGACACAATAACACAACACACAACAACACAACACACAACACTGACACAACATACAACATACAACACAATACAACACAACACTGACACAACACACAATACAATACACAACAACACACAACAGACAACACTGACACAACATACAACACACAATACAACACACAACAACACACAACACAACATACAACAACACACAACACAACACACAACAACACACACAACACAACACACAACAACACAACACACAACACACACACAACAACACAACAACACAACAACACACAACAACAACAACACACAACAACACACAACACAACAGACAACACACACACAACACAACAACACAACACACAATACAACACACAACAACACACAACACAACAACACACAACACACAACAACACACAACAACATACAACAACACACAACAACACACAACAACACACAACAACACAGACACAACACAACACACAACACACACACACAACACACAACAACACACAACACAACACACAACACTTTTTTCATCATGGTGCATGTATAAACACAGTATCCTGAATACGTCGACATCAAGTTGATTTGACCTGGATTATTTTCACGTTTGTCGTTTGTTTTTCCAGGAGACAGACCCAGACTTTAATCACTGTGCCGTGTGCATCGAGTCCTACCAGCTCAACGACGTGGTCCGAATCCTGCCCTGCAAGTACGACCCCTGACCCCTGACCCCTGACCCCGAGTGTCTGTGACGGAGCGAAGCCTGCACATTTACACTGTGCTCTTCACTTAAACTGAACACACTCTCTCCAAGTGTTTCCTCTGGACGGTCGTCTGCCACATTTGCCCTCACATGTGGTGGAAAAAGCCTGTAGCGTCTCAAATGTCCACAGCTCCTGATCCAGCCTCTTGCTCGGTTTCCATGGATACGGGAAAAACAAACCGCTCATTTCACAAAATCCAACCGTCCCTAACTCGTGTCCTTTGAGCTGCTCGTGTTGCACTTCTGAGTTGGTTAAAAATCCCCTGATATGATGTTAAAAACTGAGCTCAAAAAACAAAAAAAGGTAACACTTTATAATAACTACACCTTATTTAGCCTTAATAAAGCATGAACAAAGACTTAATTAATAATGATTCACGCTTCGTAACTACTTAATTACTACCTTAATTAGCACTTGCACTTAATTTGCCTGTGCTGTAAATAGTTACTCATAATTATTTCATACTTAATTACTCATGAACTAACCATTTGAGCATATTAATGATCACTGTTGGGCAAGTTACTTTAAAACTGTAATGCGTTATTTATTACTTATTACTGTCATTTCAAAGTAATTCATTACATTACAATATTACTGCATTTAAAATTGTAAGGCATTACATTACTATTGCATTACTTTAAGTTACTCTCACCAAAATAACTGCAAAAAAGCTGAACTTTTGAGCCGTATATGGACTGAACCAGGACTAAACAAGGTCTAAACCAGGACTAAACCAGAGCTGAACCAGGACTAAACCAGGACTATAACAGGACTAACCTCAGACTGATTCCAGGATTGAAGAGGAGGACTAAACCAGAACTGAACTAGGACTAAAACAGGACTCACTGTCAGGACGGGCTCGAAGGTGACCGCAGGAGAAAGGAGCGGCTCTGCTCTGCACCTCATGGAGGTAAGAGCGGCTGTTGCTCGATTGTTCTTTATGGACCCTGCTGCTCAGGCTCACGGTCCTGATTTCAGCAACTATTTGCGGGTACAAGACCCGGTGCAAAACTCTGCTACAGCGCGTAACAACTACCTTCCTTCAACGTGTCCAAACTTTTTGTGGCGATGGTTTGCATCGTCCTCTGTCTTTTGGGTGTGAGCGCAGGAGACTTTGTCGGTGCAGAACATTTCGTCGACGTTGTGGATTTTGTCGGAGAGAAAACTTGCAGACATACAGCACTTCAGAATCACACTGCTAGAGATTGAACATTTATTTAAATTTGGCAGCTGAACACATTCTGTACTGTACAGGAGACAGGAGTCCCTTAACCGATCAGGACACAGCGGGAGGAACGCAATACGTGTTCATACACTAAAAACAAAAGGCATGCAAAATTGCACAAAAAAAAAAATTTCTAAAAAATCTGCGAAACAGCGAGACCGCGAAAAGTGAATCGCGTTAGAGCGAGAGACGACTGTAAGCCAGGTCTAAACCAGAAGTGACCCAGGTCTAAACAGCGTAGAGTTCTGGGTTGGTCCTTTCGCCCGTGGTTAACTGAAGGTTTATCCGGCCGCGTCTCCGGCGTTTCACCGCTGCTGATTTCACGGTGATTTTAGCGAATTTCTATGAAGAAAAACCCACCACTTCAATCCAGGTTAAAAAAGCATTGTAACGCGCGTTACTACTCACATTTGTACCGAGTAAAATATTAACATTTTTTCCCCCTGTAATGCCGAACATTACTGCGTTACAGCAAAAATCAACGCATTACAGTAATACATTACTTTTTATAATACATTACTCCCAACACTGTTAATGATTTGTAAACTATGAGAGAATGATTTACTAATAATGCAATACAATGATAATTCAGGCAGCTGTTATCTGTTAGTTAAGTCTTTTTGAGAGCTTTTCTAAAGTGAAGACTAATTATCCTTTATTAAGCATTTACTAAGCGTGAATCATTATTAATTAAGTCTTTGTTCATTATTAATTAAGTCTTTGTTCATTGCTTTATTAAGGCTAAATAATGTGTAGTTATTATAAAGTGTTACCCAAAAAAAGTTTCCAAAGATGCTCAGTGTGTGAGCCAGGCAGCCACAAGAGCAGCCAACCACTCTGCTGCTGCCAAGAGAAGAAGTCTTGAATTGAAAGTCTCTCTCTTTCTCGTCTAACCCTGGTCTCTCTCTGGTCTCACACAAAACTTACACTGTTCTTCTTTTGAAACCGAAAACACGCGGTTCCACCTTGTGACGTCATTACGTGCCAATACAGGAAGTGCTCCGTTGGGCTTTTAAACTCCGCACACCTTCGCTAGAATCATTTGGATAATTTAAGCCCTGTATCTGACAAACTTTAAAGTCACAGCTGTTGTTTTATTTTGCTATTTTATCCGTAAGTAATTTCCTATTCCTCATGTGGAACTCTGCCCCAAACTCCCCCTATAAACCGCAGGCCTCAGTGAGCTTCAAAAAACTGGAGCGGAACGCTGTGGTGACGTCCCACTCCCTCAGAACACGTCTTTATTCAGTCGGTGGTTTGGATTCATTCGTGAACGTTTGAATCTTGCTTCGTGGGCCACCCTGTTTAAAGCTGCACTGTGTAGCTTTTCCGGTTCAGAGTCCGTCACCTGCCGGTTTCTATGGAGATGTCACTGCTCTGCTTGGAATGTTCCGCAGTGTGACATTAAACGGCTCTACTTTACGTTTATTCAATTACAGGTGGTTTTATGGCACAAAAATACCCAGAAAAGCAGGCGTTCTGACTGTGAGCGGGGTCGCCTCTCCACAGATCTTACCTGTAACTTGATCTGGTTTGGTCTCCATGGAGATAGAAAGGTTTAATGCCATACTGTGAAACATCTCCATGGACCCTCCACTAGAGAAGTTACACAGTGCACCTTTTCACTTTGCCTCTCTTTTGCTGTAATATCGTGTTGTGTTGTTGTTTTGTTGAGTTGTGTTGTTGTGTTGTTGAGTTGTTGTTGTGTTGTTGTACTGAGTTGTGTTGTTGTTTTGTTGAGTTGTGTTGTTGTGTTGTTGTGTTGCAGACACGTGTTCCACAAAGGCTGTGTGGACCCGTGGCTGAACGAGCACTGCACCTGCCCCATGTGCAAACTGAACATCCTGAAGGCGCTCGGCATCGTGGTGAGCAACGACGACGACGCGCACAGAAATCACCGTGACAACAACAAAACACCATGACAACAAAACTCTGTGACAACCAAACCCATGACAACAAAACACCACGACAACCAAACACCATGACAACAAAACACCACGACGACAACCAAACACCATGACAACAAAACACCACGACAACAAAACACCACTATGACAACAACCAAAACACCATGACAACAAAACACCATGACAACAACCAAACACCATGACAACAAAACACCATGACAACAAACCAAACACCATGACAACAAAACTGTGACAACCAAATACAGTGACAACAAAACACCATGACGACAACCAAACACCATGACAACAAAACACCATGACAACAACCAAACACCATGACAACAAAACACCATGACAACAACCAAACACCATGACAACAAAACACCATGACAACAACCAAACACCATGACAACAAAACACCACGACAACAAAACTCTGTGACAACCAAATACAGTGACAACAAAACACCATGACAACCAAACACCATGACGACAACCAAACACCATGACAACAAAACACATGACATGACAACAACAACAACACCATGACAAAACAACACAAACGACAACCAAACACAACACGACGAACAAAAACACCATGACAACAAAACACCACGACAACAAAAACACCATGACAACAAAACACAAACAACAACCAAACACACGACAACAAAAACAACCATGACAACAACCAAACACCATGACAACAAAAACACCATGACGAACATGACAAACACCATGACAACAAAACAAACTGTGACAACCAAATACAGTGACAAACAAAACACCATGACGACAACCAAACACCATGACAAAAAACAAAACACAACATGACGACAACCAACACCATGACAACAAAAACACCAATGACAACAAACAAACACCATGACAACAAAAACCAACCATGAACACAACCAAACACCATGACAACAAAACACACATGACAACAAACACCATGACAACAAAACACCATGAACAAACACAAACCATGACACACCAACAAACATGACAAACAACAACACCATGACAACAAAACACCATGACAACCAAACACCATGACAACCAAACACCATGGCAACCAAACACCATGACAACCAAACACCATGACAACAACCAAACACCATGACAACAAAACACCATGACAACCAAACACCATGACAACAAAACACCATGACAACAAAACACCATGACAACAAAACACCATGACACAACCAAACACCATGACAACAACCAAACACCATGACAACAAAACACCATGACACAAAACCATGACAACAACCATGACAACAAAACACCATGACAACCAAACACCATGACAACCAAACACCATGGCAACCAAACACCATGACAACCAAACACCATGACAACAACCAAACACCATGACAACAACCAAACACCATGACAACAACCAAACACCATGACAACAAAAACACCATGACAACAAAACACCATGACAACAACCAAACACCATGACAACAAATCACCACGACAACAACCAAACACCGTGACAACAAACACCATGACAACCAACGACTATTACAGTCAGATACCATAACAACAAAACACCACCACAACAAAACAAAAGTAAGAAAGTAAGTACACTGTTCCTACTACTACTACTACTACTACTACTACTGCTACTACAACTGCTACTACTACTGCTACTACAACTGCTACTACTACTGCTACTACTACTACTACTACTTCTACTGCTACTACTGCTACTACTACTACTACTACTACTACTACTGCTACTACTACTGCTACTACTACTACTACTACTACTACTGCTACTACTACTACTACTACTGCTACTACTGCTACTACTACTACTACTACTACTACTGCTACTACTACTGCTACTACTACTACTACTACTGCTACTACTACTACTACTACTTCTACTGCTACTACTGCTACTACTACTACTACTGCTACTACTGCTACTACTGCTACTACTGCTACTACTACTACTAGTACTAGTACTACTACTGCTACTACTACTACTAGTACTACTACTGCTACTGCTACTACTACTACTGCTACTACTACTACTACTACTACTACTGCTACTAGTACTACTACTGCTACTAGTACTACTACTGCTACTGCTACTACTACTACTACTGCTGCTACTGCTACTAGTACTACTACTGCTACTACTACTACAACTACTGTACTACTACTACTACTATTGTACTACTACTATTACTGCTACTACTATTACTACTGATACTACTACTACTACTACTGTACTACTACTAGAGCCCAAACCAGCTTTCACAACAAGAGCCCAGCCACACATTTTCAGGTGTGTCCGAATGTCCAGTGAGTGAAAAAGTAGTGGAATCTAAATTTCTCACAATGCACTTTAAAAGATCGATCACTTACACGTCTCAAACCAAAATGAAAACAAAAAACAAAACTTGTGAGCGTTTTTTTTTTTTTTTTCTTCCCCCAGACCAGTATCCCGTGTGTGGACTCGGTCTCGTTGGACGGATCCCGGTACAGTCCCGCCTCCCGGAGCCAGAGGACCCCGCTGAGTGACTCCCTGCAGCCGTCAATCATCCTGGAACCCAGCCCCGCCCACCCAGAGGCCACGCCCACTGACATTACCATCACTGTGACCAGTAAGAGCCAAACGGGAAACGGGAAAAGAGGAGAAAAGAGGAGAAGAGAGAGAGGAAAGAGAGGAGAGAGAGGAGAGGAGAAGAGAGAGGAGAAGAGGAGAAGAGAGGAGAGAGGAGGAGAGAGAGAAGAGGAGAAGAAGAGAGAGGAGAGGAGAGGAGAAGAGAGGAGAGAGGAGAAGAGGAGAGGAGAAGAGAGAGAGGAAGAAGAGGAGAAGAGGAGAGAGAGAGGAGAGGAGAGAGAGAGAGAGAGAGAGAGAGAGAGAGAGAGAGAGGAGAAGAGAGGAGAGAGAGAGAGAGAGAGAGAGAGAGAGAGAGGAGGAGAAGAGGAGAGAGAGAGAGAGGAGAGGAGAGAGGAGGAGAGGAGGAGAGAGGAGAGAGAGGAGAGAGGAGAGAGGAGGAGAGGAGAGGAGAGAGAGGAGAGAGAGAGAGAGGAGAGAGAGAGGAGAAGAGAGAGAGAGAGGAGGAGAGGAGAAGAGAGGAGAGAGGAGAGAGAGGAGAGGAGAGGAGAAGAGGAGAGAGGAAGAAGAGGAGAGGAACAGAGGAGCAGAAAAAAGAGAGAAGCAGAAAAGAGAGGAGAGAAGGAACAGAAGAATAGAAAGCAGAGGAGAGAGGAACATAAAAGAGGAAGAGCAGAAAAGAAAGGAACAAAGGAGAAAGGAACAGAGGAGCAGAGGAGAGAAGAACAGAGGAGCAGAAAAGAAAGGAACAGAAAAGAGGAACAGAGGAGAAAGGGACAGAGGAGAGAGGAAGAGAGGAACAGAAAAGAGGAGCAGAAAAGAGAGGAGAGAAGAACAGAGGAATAGAAAGCTGAGGAGAGAGGAACAGAGGACGAGAGGAACAGAAAAGAGGAACAGAGGAGCAGAAAAGAAAGGAATAGAGGAACAGAAAAGAGAAGAGAGAAGAACAGAGGAATAGAAAAGAAAGGAACAAAGGAGAAAGGAACAAAGGAGCAGAAAAAGAGGAGCAGAGGAAAAGAGGAGGAGAAAAGAGAGGGGCAGAAAAGAAAAGAGAGGAGAGAAGACCAGAGGAATAGAAAGCAGAGGAGAGAGAAACAGAAAAGAGAAGAACAGAGGAGCCGAAACGAGAGGAGAGAAGAACAGGAGGAGAGGAGCAGAAAAGAGGAACGGAAAAGAGAGGAACAGAGGAGCAAAAAAGAGAGGAACAGAGGAAAGAGGAACAGAGGAGCAGGAAAGAGAGGAGAAGAAAAGAGCAGAGCAGAGGAACAGAAAAGGGAGGAACAAAGGAGAGGGGAACAGAGGAGCAAAAACGAGAGGAAGGTCGGAGAGAGGAACAGAGAAGAAAGGAACAAAGGAGCAGAAAAGAGGGAAATAGACGAGCAGGAAAGAGAGAAACAGAGGAGAGAGGAACAGTGGAGCAGAGGACCAGAAAAAAAAAAGAACAGGAAAAGAGGAACAGAGGAGCAGAGGAAAAGAAACGAGAGGAACAGAGGAGCAGAAAAGAGAAGAACAGAGAAGAGAGGAGCAGAAAATAGAGGAGCAGAGGAACAGACGAGGAGAAAAGATCTAACTGAGACCAATAAAGTTTGGTTCTTTTCTCTGGTGTCTGCTCCTTCGTTCCTTCAGGTTCACTCCTTCGTTCCTTCAGTTTTACTCCTTCGTTCCTTCAGGTTAACTCCTTCGGTTCCTTCCTTCGTTCCTTCAGGTTTTACTCCTTCGTTCCTTCAGTTTACAGTCCTTGTTTTCCTTCAGTTTTTACTCCTTCGTTCCTTCAGTTTTACTCCTTCGTTCCTTCAGTTTTACTCCTTCGTTCCTTCAGGTTTACTCCTTCGTTCCTTCAGTTTTACTCCTTGGTTCCTTCCTTCGTTCGTTCAGGTTTACTCCTTCGTTCCTTCAGGTTCACTCCTTCGTTCGTTCCTTTCAGGTTTACTCCTTCGTTCCTTCAGGTTTCACTCCTTCGTTCCTTCAGGTTTTACTCTTCGTTCCTTCTTCCTTCGTTCCTTCAGGTTTACCTTCAGTTCCTTCGTTCCTTCAGGTTTACTCCTTCGTTCGTTCAGGTTTACTCTTCGTTCGTTCAGTTTTACTTTTCGTTCCTTTTTACTTCCTTCAGTTCTTCAGGTTCACTCCTTCGTTCCTTCAGGTTCACTCCTTCATTCGTTTCTTTCAGTTTTACTTCGTTCTTCGTTCTTCCTTCAGTTTCCTTCGTTCTTCAGTTTTACTCCTTCGTTCTCAGTTCACTTTCGTTTCAGTTTACTCCTTCGTTCCTTCAGGTTTCACTTCCTTCGTTCTTCAGTTTTCTTCCTTCAGTTCACTCCTTCGTTCAGTTCTTTCTTCCTTCGTTCCTTCAGTTCCTTACTCCTTTCTTCAGGTTTACTCCTCCTTCGTCCTTCAGGTTTTACTCCTTCGTTCCTTCAGGTTTCCCTCCTTCCTTCAGTTTCTCCTTCAGTTTTACTCCTTCGTTCCTTCAGTTTTACTCCTTCGTTCCTTCAGGTTCACTACTCCTTCGTTCTTTCAGGTTCATTTCAGTTCTTTCTTCAGTTTTACTCCTTCGTTCCTTCAGGTTCACTCCTTTTTCTCTCAGGTTCACTCCTTCGTTCCTTCAGGTTCACTCCTTCATTCTTCAGTTTTACTCCTTCGTTCCTTCAGTTTACTCCTTCGTTCTTCAGGTTCACTCCTTCTTCAGTTCTCCTTCAGTTCTTTCAGTTTTACTCCTTCGTTCCTTCAGGTTCACTCCTTCGTTCCTTCAGGTTTACTCCTTCGTTCCTTCAGTTTTACTCCTTCGTTCCTTCAGGTTCACTCCTTCTTTCCTTCAGTTTTACTCCTTCGTTCCTTCAGGTTTACTCCTTCGTTCCTTCAGTTTTACTCCTTCGTTCCTTCAGGTTCACTCCTTCGTTCTTCAGGTTCACTCCTTCGTTCCTTCAGGTTCACTCCTTCATTCTTCAGTTTTACTCCTTCGTTCCTTCAGGTTTACTCCTTCGTTCCTTCAGGTTCACTCCTTCGTTCCTTCAGGTTTACTCCTTCGTTCCTTCAGTTTACTCCTTCGTTCTTCAGTTTACCCTTCAGTTCCTTCAGTCCTTCGTTCCTTCGTTCCTTCATTCGTTCCTCCTTCAGTTTTCAGTTTTACTCCTTCGTTCCTTCAGTTTTACTCCTTCGTTCCTTCAGGTTTACTCCTTCGTTCCTTCAGGTTTACTCCTTCTTTTCTTCAGGTTTACTCCTTCGTTCCTTCAGTTTTACTCCTTCGTTCCTTCAGTTTTACTCCTTCGTTCCTTCAGGTTTACTCCTTCGTTCCTTCAGGTTCACTCCTTCGTTCCTTCAGGTTCACTCCTTCGTTCCTTCAGGTTCACTCCTTCGTTCCTTCAGGTTCACTCCTTCATTCTTCAGTTTTACTCCTTCGTTCCTTTAGGTTTACTCCTTCATTCTTCAGGTTTACTCCTTCATTTCTTCAGTTTTACTCCTTCGTTCCTTTAGTTTACTCCTTCGTTCTCCTTCGTTCAGGTTTACTCCTTCAGTTTTACTCCTTCGTTCAGGTTTACTCCTTCATTCTCTTCAGTTTTACTCCTTCGTTCCTTCAGGTTCACTCCTTCGTTCCTTCAGGTTCACTCCTTCGTTCCTTCAGGTTCACTCCTTCGTTCCTTCAGGTTTACTCCTTCATTCCTTCAGGTTTACTCCTTCGTTCGTTCAGGTTTACTCCTTCGTTCCTTCAGGTTTACTCCTTCGCTCCGTGGTTTTCTTTTGGAACAACATTTAATACGACCCATTTGTCTGACAGTTGAAAAATGGAGGAGGAGGAAGCGAGGCGAGAGAAATGTGAGGCGGCTGTGCGAGGAGGAGCGCGTGACCATCTCCTGACGATCTTCTGATGCTCTTCTTTCAGGTGGAGTGCAGCTCTTCTCGCCCGTCGCGCCCCCTCGTGGCGTCGCCGAGGTGGAGCTCCCAGAATCAGACTTTTACGAAGACAAGTCCTGATCGCGGCCCTGGACTCTGGTCTGGTCCGTGGAGGTCTGCGGCGCCAGGACCCGGTCTGGAACCCCCGGAGCCCGCCGCCGTGGAACGCTTCTTTTGGTTCTTCCACTTGGGGACTCGATCAGACCTGGACCTGGATCCGGACCCGGAGCGTATTTTGTAGGACTTGTGCCGAACAGTATAAACGCCGGCTGTATTTAAACCACTGAACGTATCCTATAAACATGTGGCTAATGTAGTGAGCCGCACCTGCACCGAGACGCCCCGACAAACGCACAACGACACAAACACTACGTCCATCGTGTGTGCTCCGTTTGTGCTGCAAAAAGTTTTGTTTGTGCTGCTTTTGTTTTGGAGATATTAACGATTATTTTATAGGTTAAATTAGCATCAGCAGCCTCCAGTAAACTTCGAAATGCTCTAAAACGACACAAAATGAGGCAGGGACTCTCCACCCTGAGGTCGTGGTTCTCCGGGCGGGTGGAGAGTCTCTGCCTCAAGTGGAGGAGTTCAAGTAAGTCGGGGTCTTGTTCTGGAGTGAGGGGAGGATGGAGCGTGATTGACAGGTGCAACGTCAGCGGTGATGCGGTTGCTGTATGTTGTGGCCGTTGTGGTGAAGAGGAGCTGAGTCGAAATGCAAAGCTCTCGATTTACTGTCAGTCTCCTTTCCTCCCCTCACCTCTGGTCATGAGCTCTGGGTAATGACCGAAATGACCAGATCCTGAAATAAGCGCTCGAAATGAGTTTCCTCCACAGAGTGGCTGGGCGCTCCCTTAGAGATAGGGTGAGAAGCTCGGAGTAGAGCCGCTGCTCCTCCACGTGGAGAGGAGCGTCTGAGGGGGAGGACGTCTGTTCTGATGTCTCCTGGGTGTCTCCCTTAAAGGGTGTTCATGTCCCACCTTGAGGAGGCCCCGGGGAAGATCCAGGACACACTGGAGGAACTATGTCTCTGGGCTGACCTGAGAAAGGAACGCCTTGGGATCCCTGCTGCCCCCGTGACCCGACCCGATAAGTGGCAGAAAATGGATGGATGATTCTTTTTTCGGTCAAATTGGGGTCAGCAGCCTCCAGGAATCTTAAAAATTCTCTCTAAAACCACACAAAACTATGTCACTCTTTTGTGCTTCGTTTGTGCTGCAAAAAGTTCCGTTTGTGTGATTCTAGTTCTTAAGTTTTATTTTGGGCTGATGACATCATCCAGCCCCTCAAAATGTTAAATCGCCTCAAAGCAGCAGAAAATTATACGAAACGTTTATATTTCATTTGTGCTGTGACAGTTTTCATTTGTGCGAGTTTATTTTTTAAAGTATTACTTATAAATTTTTGCTGAAATGATATGACGTCATTGCTGTTTAACATTTTGAGACGCTGGATGACGCCATCAGCTGAAAATAAAACTGAATATCTTAAGAACCACACAAATTAAACTTTTTGCAACACAAAGGAAGCCCAAAAGATTGACTCCGTTTTGTGTCGTTTTAGAGCATTTTGAAGTTTCCTTGGGGCTGGCTGATTTCAAGTTGACCTTTAAAAGAATCGTTAATATCTCCAAGACTAAAAGAGCACAAACGAGACTTTTTGCGGCACAAACGGCACACAAACGATGGACGTAGTTGTTGTGTAGTTGTGCGTTCGTTGGGGGATCTTCGGGAGGTGTGAGCCGCAGCCTTATACTTGGTCTGTTCAGATCTAGACCTGGTTCCGGGTCGGACCTGCAGCTGCTCTCGACGAAGCCCTTTAAACAGCTGAGAGGTGGACCCGGGCCGGTCTAAAAGTATCTAGCTGAACACTTTATAAAGGTCCTCGCCTCATTATCTCTTCTCCGCAGATGTAGAACGGTCGATCTCGCCTCGACGAACGAAGTCTGACCGAACGAACGCGCCAACGAAACCGCCGACTGAGTCCAGGGCGACGCCGATTTAAACGAACAAACAGAAATCTGGGACGAGGCGAGAGTGAAGTTTTTCAAGTCCAAGATCAGTCCTGGTTTAGTCCCGGGTCGGTCCTGGTTTCGTCCTGGTTTAGACCTGGTTCAATCTTGGTTTAGTCCTATTTTGGCCCCAATTTTAGACCTGGTTTAGACCTGTTTCAGTTCTGGTTCAGTCCTGGTTTAGTCCTGGTTTAGTCTTGGTTTAGTCCTGGTTTAGACTTGGTTTTAGACCTGGTTTAGACCTTGTTTAGTCCTTGTTTAGACCTTGTTCGGTCCTGGTTTAGTCCTGGTTTAGACTTGATTTTAGACCTTGGTTTAGTCCTTGTTTAGACCTTGTTCGGTCCTGGTTTAGACCTGGTTTAGACCTGGTTCAGACCTAGTTCAGTTCTGGTTCAGTCCTGGTTTAGTCCTGGTTTAGTCCTGGTTTAGACTTGGTTTTAGACCTGGTTTAGTCCTGGTTTAGTCCTGGTTTAGACCTGGTTTAGTCCTGGTTTAGACCTGGTTTAGACCTGGTTTAGTCCTGGTTTAGACCTGGTTTAGTCCTGGTTTAGTCCTGGTTTAGTCCTGGTTAAACCTGGTTTAGTCCTGGTTTAGTCCTGGTTTAGACTTGGTTTTAGACCTGGTTTAGTCCTGGTTCAGTCCTGGTTTACTCTTGGTTTAGACCTGGTTCAGTCCTGGGTTTAGTCCTAGTTAAAACCTTGTTCGGCCCTGGTTTAGACCTGGTTTAGTCCTGGTTTAGTCCTGGTTTAGTCCTGGTTTAGACCTGGTTTAGACCTGGTTTAGTCTTTTGTCTTTCATGCGTCGTTTTTTTGTCGCTGATTCTGTGAAAAACGCCGAGAGGCTGAACACCAGATCCACCGTTCTACATCTGTGATCTCTTCTCGTTCTTCTCTCTCTTTCTCTTCTTTTTCCTCTTTCTGTCCATCTTCCTCTCGTCTTTTCCGTTGGTCTGAATGGCTCTATACTGGCCAGCATTTATACAGCGTATCTGTATCTGTAACATTCAATAAACTCTTCAGAAAAGGCCGCGTGCTTCTTGTGTCCGTCTCCGGTGTCACTGATTTAACACTTAAAAAAAGAAAAGATGTGATTGTATTTTTAGACGGTTTATTGGCCCTGTCAGGTTCAGCGTGTTTTAGTTTCGCACATCGAGACACGACAGAAACACGACACGAGTCTGTACGAGTCAGGTCCATCTGCTCTTCTCATCATTTATGTTATCAGGTTCTTTTTTTTTTTTTAAACCCAGGAGTTTGTGTTCATCCTGACGGTTTGGACGACGGCACCGACCTGCGCTCGGTTCAGATCAGAATCACATTCTTCATTGTCAAATCTTTAATTCAGGAACACAGGTCCAACTTTAAAAAACAGGAAAACAGACACAAGATTCAACTCAACTTGAAGATTTTTATTGAAATTGTTCAGTTCCTTCAGCAATCGTAGTAGTAGTAGTAGTAGTAGTAGCAGTAGTAGTAGTAGTAGTAGTAGCAGTAGTAGTAGCAGTAGTAGTAGTAGCAGTAGTAGTAGTAGGTAGTAGTCAGTAAGTAGTAGTAGTAGTAGTAGTAGTAGTAGTAGTAGTCAGTAGTAGTAGCAGTAGTAGTAGTAGTAGTCAGTAGTAGTAGCAGTAGTAGTAGTAGTAGTAGTAGTAGTAGCAGTAGTAGTAGCAGTAGTAGTAGTAGTAGTAGTAGTAGTAGTAGCAGTAGTAGTAGTAGTAGCAGTAGTATTAGTAGTAGTAGTAGTAGTAGAAGCAGTAGTATTTGTAGTAGTAGTAGTAGTAGCAGTAGTATTTGTAGTAGTAGTAGTAGCAGTAGTATTTGTAGTAGTAGTAGAAGCAGTAGTATTTGTAGTAGTAGTAGAAGCAGTAGTATTTGTAGTAGTAGTAGTAGCAGTAGTATTTGTAGTAGTAGTAGAAGCAGTAGTAGTAGGTCGAAAACCTTTAAAGTAAACAAATATGCGTAATAATGAAATGAAATGTACATTTTACAGTTTCATTAGTAATTTAATATTTGAATTTTAATTAATATACTTCAAAAATATAATATGTATTATTTATATATCATATATTTTACTTAAATAGCTACAATTTTAAACAATGCATCATTTTACCCATTTTTAATCTTAAATATAGCTTGTGTTATACCATTTTAAATATAAATATTTTATTATTTTAAGCCAAATTTTTATGAATTCATAAATCCATAAATAATAAATTCATAAATCCATACAGAAATACATTTTAATTGCTAAATCATATACATATATATATATATATATATATATACATATATATATATATATATTATATATATATATATATTATATATTATATAGATATATAGATATATATCTATCTATCTATCTATCTATCTATATATATATATATATATATATATATATATATATATATATATATATATATATATAATATATATTGGTCCTGTTCTGAATGACCAGCACATTGGTTTGTTAATTTAATGGCACTTGATTTTACGCTAGCAGTGGGGAGCAGTCAGAGTCCGTTGATGCGTTGCGTAGTGTGTTGTAGCCTATTGTAGTGACCATTTACTAAAAAATAGTTTGTTTTTAGTTTTATGATATTGTATTATTATTATTGTTGTACACTGTGTGTGAACAGGAAATTTATAATTGGTAATTGTATTGTTGTAGTAAATGACTAATTAGCCCTCTTCTCTCTGCCCTCACTCCGTAAGGTCCCATGAGCCAAGCAACTGTACGAAACACCTGTTATCGCTATTGGAACTCATCAAATAAATACACTGGCTGCCCCTCATTCCACAATCAAAAAGAACCGCTGTGTCTGTTGTGGTCCTTCTCCCCGCACCACACCTACCCTAAGCTCTTACATCACCAAACACAACGCAGGGTCCTGAAGCTGGGTGCGCTGAGACAACTGGGACCACATATAGCCTGTCAGTTCGTGAGGGTTACATATATATATATTATATATATATATATGTATTTTTTTTTTTAATTAGTGCTGCTTTAACTTGGTCAGTACATTTTACACCATTTACCATAAATCAGATTATATTTGTATCATATAGTGTACCATTTATTTGTTCATTAATTTTTTTCCATATAAAACCAAAAATAAGTTTTGGAGAGAAATAATGAAGAAAATCGTAGTTTTTTTGTTTTTTAATTTTTTGTTTTATTTTGAAAAAATAATGACACACGGATTCTGTATTCTGAGTCCTCATCCTGTGGTATGTTGGTTCGTTCATATGTTCGTATGTTGGTGCATTGGTGCGTTGGGGTGTTGGCATGTTGGTGTGTTCATATGTTCGTGCGTTGATGCATTGGTATGTTCGTATGTTGGTGTGTTGGTGCATTCATATGTTGGTGTGTTTGTATGTTGGTGCGTTCGTATGTTGGTATGTTTGTATGTTGGTGCATTCGTATGTTGGTGTGTTTGTATGTTGGTATGTTTGTATGTTGGTGCATTCGTATGTTGGTATGTTTGTATGTTGGTATGTTTGTATGTTGGTGTGTTTGTATGTT